TATTATTATTATTAGTAGTAGTAGTAGTAGCATTAGTAGTAGTAGTAGTGAACATTATAATCAGGTTATGTCTGTCACCATCATGAAATTGATGACAAGGGATTCATTTTCATTCAAATACATTCGGATAACAATTGAATTGCATTGAATTTGACAGTGTAAGCTTAATACACACATCTTAAAGAAATAGTTCATCCATAAATGATCATTCTGCCCTCATGTTGTTACACACCTGTATGCCTTTAATTCTTCTTTTAATTTAATTCTTTAATTCTTATTTTGAAGAACGTTGGGAACCAAATAACTTTGGACACCATTGACTTTCATTGAATGGACAAAAAACACTGAGACATTTCTCAAAATATCTTGTTTTGTGATCCACACAAGAAAGAAGTTAACTAAACTAAAACTAAAAGGAGAAATGCATGTGTGTGTGTGAGTGATAAAACACGATCGTCTCTCATGATCAGTGTGTGTTTGTTCTTCATGTCTCTCTGGAGGAACGACGCGTCTCTGGAGACTCGCTGGATCTAACCATCTCACACAGAACCAAGCTTTATCAAACATTCACGACAGACACTTGAAATGGTTTAGAATCAAAAATAATTCTGAATTCATTCAGAGCTCGCACTCATGTCGTTCCAAACCTGAATGAACCTCAGCCCTTTCTTTCGTTGTATATAAATGAACATTCAGCTAAAGCAGGGTTGGATTGACGTGAGGGTGAGCAAATTATGAAAATCAAAAGTATGAATATTACTAATAGTGTAGTATATTATTATTTATTAATGAATAGTTTTTAGGTAAATGGTCTCTTTAAGTGAAGTGAATAAAAATATGTAAACCTTCTCAAAATAAAATGGTAAATAATTATTCTGGGGACAGTTTTGTGCCCAGAAGTGAGTTAAACCTGACAGAATCTCCCAAAAACTTCTTTTGGGGGCGTCTTCATTTGTAAAAATAGTAAATATATATAAAAAAAAAGTTTTTAAAATGTAAAAATTAAAAAATAAATGAATTAAAAAAAATACATTAAAGATATATATATGTGTGTGTGTGTGTGTATATATAAAATGTTGTTTTTATATATAAAATATATATAAAATTACAAATGATAATTAGTAAATACATTACTTTGGGGAAAATTTTAAAATATCTAAAAAAAAAATTTATTTATATTATACTATTATTTAAAATTAAATTTTATATATGTATTATAAAAATAAAACCGTAAATAAAAAGGTCAAAATGTATAGTATTTATAACCAACTGTATATAATAACGATAGATTTAGATGTGTGTGTTTGTGTTTGATCTGGATCTTCTGTTGAGATGTGTGCAGTGTGTGTGTGTGTTTGATCTGGATCTTCTGTTGAGATGTGTGCAGTGTGTGTGTGTGTGTGTGTGTGTGTGTTTTTTATCAAGATTTTCTTTTGAGGTGG